GGCTACGGCCACCGTGTCATCACCGACCAGTGTCCCCAGGGCACGGTGCTGCTGCTGCTCCCGGCCATCCTGGGCTCCATGGTCAACGCCTTCATGGTGGGTTGTATGTTCGTCAAGATCTCCCAACCCAACAAGCGCGCCGAGACGCTGGTGTTCTCCTCGCACGCGGTGGTGGCTCTGCGCGACGAGCGCCTGTGCCTCATGTTCCGCGTGGGCGACCTGCGGGACTCGCACATCGTGGAGGCGTCCATCCGCGCCAAGCTCATCCGCTCCAAGCAGACACGCGAGGGCGAGTTCATCCCCCTGGACCAGACCGACCTGAGCGTGGGCTTTGAGACAGGCGATGACCGCCTCTTCCTCGTCTCGCCCCTCGTCATCAGCCACGAGATCGACGAGCGCAGTCCCTTCTGGGATGTCTCGAGGCACCAGCTGGAGAAGGATGACTTCGAGATCGTCGTCATCCTCGAGGGGATGGTGGAGGCCACAGGTAACGGGGGTGGTGGCTTGGGGACGGGGGGTGGGATGTGCGTGGGGACATCATTCATCTCCGTGGGGATGCGTCATCTCCATGGGGACACCTCCATAGGGACACTTCACCTCCATGAAGACACCTCCATAGGGACACATCATCTCTGTGGGGACACCTCCATGGGGACGTCTTGCCTCTGTGGGGACATTTCTCCTCCATGGGAACATTACATTGCACCTCAGTGGGGACACCTGCTGGGAATAGATCATCCTTGTGGGGACACCTCACCTCCATGGGGACATCTCACTTCCCTGGGGACACCTGCTGGGTATATCTCATCCTTGTGGGGACATCTCATCTCCTTGGGGACACCTCCATGGGGACACTTCACCCCCATGGGGACATCTCGGCTCTGTGGAGACGCTTCACCTCCATGAAGACACCTCCATAGGGACACATCATCTCCATGAGGACACCTCCATGGGGACATCTTGCCTCTGTGGGGACATATTGCCTCCATGGGGACATTGCAACTCCATGGGGACACCTCCTGGGAAGACCTCATCCTTGTGGGGACACCTCATCTCCATGGGGACACCTCCATGGGGACACCTCCTGGGAAGACCTCATCCTCGTGGGGACACCTCTTCTCCATGGGACACCTCCATGGGGACATCTCACCTCTGTGGGGACATCTCACCTCCATGGGGACACCTCCTGGGAAGACCTCATCCTTGTGGGGACACTTCACCTCTGTGGGGACATCTTGCCTTCATGGGGACACCTCCATGGGGACATCTCGCCTCTGTGGGGCCACCTCCATGAGGACACCTTCATGGGGACACCTCCCTGGGGACATCTCGCCTCTCTGGGGACATTTCGCCTCTGTGGGGACATCTCACCCCCATGGCCTGCAGCGTGTCCCTGCCTGGTCCTGGCTGGGGGGTGACCCCAAATCTGCCCCCTGCCCTGGGTGCAGCAGATGTGGGGGTACACCGTGCAGGGGGTGCCACAGATGTGGGGGTGCCCCCTGCCCTGGCTGCAGCAGATGTTGGGGTACACCGTGCAGGGGGTGCAGCACAGCAACCCCCCCTGGCTAGGACCAGGGTACCCTGTGTCCTGGGTGCTGCAGATTTGGGGGTGCCCATGTATAGGGTGTCACGAATGTCAGGGTCCCCCCTGCAGGGATGACATGAAGCAGATGTTGGGGTACACCATTCCGGGGGTGTCACAGATGTTGGGGTCCCCCCTCCAGGGATGACATACCAGGCACGCAGCTTGTACACAGATATTGGGGTGCCCGTGCAGGGGTGTCACAGATGTTAGGGTCCCCCAAGTATGATGTGCCAGGTGTGCAGCTTGCACACAGATATCGGGGTACACCATTCAGGGGGTGTCACAGATATCGGGGTCCCCCCCCCAGGGATGACATGAAGCAGATGTTGGGGTACACCATTCCGGGGTGTCACAGATGTCGGGGTCCCCCCCGGGGATGACATGAAGCAGATGTTGGGGTACACCATTGAGGGGTGTCACAGATGTTAGGGTCCCCCAAGTATGATGTGCCAGGTGTGCAGCTCGCACACAGATATCGGGGTACACCATTCAGGGGGTGTCACAGA